GAAAAAAAAAAAAAAAAAAAAAAGTTTCCTAAGGTGGAATAGCGAAGCGCGGCGGGCGGAGCATGCGTGCTGCAAACATAACGGTGTCAACAAGGCTGCCTACCTGTCCGACCGGTTGGAGCGGCTGCGCTGCGGCCCGCCCCGCGCCACCAGCGCTTGCGAAAGAATTCCGCGTCTCCACATTAATATATATATATRTGTGTGTGTGTGTGTCCACATGCACACTGTATATTGGGGAATGGGGGGTTAAGCCCTGCTGCCGCCCGCGGGCCTCGCCGGGCGCCCATTGGGGCCAATCAGTCTCGGGGTGCCTGGCCCCTCCGCAGGGAAAGGCCTTTCCTGACCCTCAGCCCAGCACCCTCGGGCCCCCCAGCGCCGTCACTGCCACCGGGCACCCCCAAGAGCAGCTGGAGAAAGGCAAAACCCCCCTCCAGCCTGCGCTCCAGGAAAAACAAAATAGCAAAAAACTTACTTTCTTCATTTTTTATTTTTATTTTTTAATTTCATTTTAGCTCTTTATTCAAATGGAATGGCCTCAGAAGGGGACTCTGAGGGCTCAGAGCTCAGCGAAGGCTGCGCACGGGGTGGCCTTGAGCACTGAACAACACTCAGGGGCTCTCRCTCCTGCCGCGCGTCTGCTCCTGCCTCCCCCAAGAGCCGGGCACAGGTCGCAGGCTTCCCCATGGATCTTGTTGGGATGAAGGTTTATTGCGGGGGCCCCACCTGGAACTTCTGCCGTGGGTGCGTCTTCAAGGGTCTTTTCTGTGTGCAATAGCAGTGCGAGCCCCCGGCTCCTGCAGCTGGGCTCGTTGGGGCAGGACAGTCGGTTTAGGGCTGTTGGAGACGTTATCTGCAACAAACGGGTGGTCATCAGAGGCCATCGCGCGTAGCCTTGAGACCTTGGGCCATCAGAGGGATGCTCGGGATGGGTGACGGGCCCAGCGCAGCACGGCCGGAGGCCGGGGCAGGACGAGGCTGCGCWGCTCGCCCAGGGTACGTCCTCTAGGCTCAGGATCTGCGCGCGGTTGGTGTCTCCAGCCAGCAAGTCCTYGCTGGGACACCCAGCACGCCTTGGCCTCCGCGTCCCGAGGGGCTGCCGGTGGGGCRCAGGGGTGGACGGCCACGCTGGGACCTTCTCAGCACACGACTTCCAGCTGCTCCTCCCCAGCCAGGCACCAGGAGCCAAGAGACTTTTGAGGAACAGGGCCTGGCTTTGCTCCCATCAGTGCCAAGGAGAAATCCAACCCAAGYGGCACGGAGCGCGCCCAGCACATGGGGAAAGGTCAGGAGGACTTCCACAAGCTGGAGATTTGGCTCCTCGGAGCAACCAYGGCTGCAGGGAGGACCTGGTCTGGCGAACGGGGCTCCTGGGGGGCTTGGGAGAGCTGCAGGTGGTGGAGCCCCGTGGGGTGTTCCAATGGTACCACACATGCAGCCTCCTCCTGCCTGCCTTCCTGCCTCCCTTCCTCTTTAAGGCTATGTAATTTCTCCGTCTGAGACTTTGCTCYGGGTCAAACTATAACCACCTGGGTTTTAATTGATTTCTGCGAGGCTTTCCAACCTGAGCTTGCTTTCCATTTAACCGTTCCTCACCTTTGAGGCCGAAAGAGGCAGCAGATGCTGCCCACCGCGCTGCTCTCGTGCGAAGAGCTTCCCAGGACGGCTTTGGAAGCGCGTCCTTTGCGCTCCCGGCTCCCGTTTCGGGATTCCRGATGGGCGTGCGGGGGGACACAACCCGCTTGCGGCCAAGCGGCGCCCTCGGGGGGCTGCCCCGTCGCCGCTGAGGCCGCCCGCCCGTCGCTGCGTCCTTGTCCCCGCGCCGCCGGGGAGTGTTGCGCACGTGCTCCGTGCGCTGTAATTACTCAGTAGGTAACGAGGTTAATGAGCTCATGGCACACAAGCCTCTCTGTAGGCTCTTGCCTCACCGTGAGCCACTGCTGGGTGTGGAGAATAAACCAGTAGCTTAAATTACCGTTTTGGGTGTAAGTCAAATTACACGTACCAAACGTCCCGTAGGGTCAAGCGGGACGCACCCTTACTTCTTTGATGACCAAAACGTGCTTCATTTGACTCAAATTGTTTGGGAGAGAGAGASCGGGGAGTGGGACTGGAGTTAGAGGGACTTTTCTGCTTCCCGTGTGGGTCATTTCTGACCGTGGAGAGCAGGGTGCTGCCCCACAAGAGCGCTCGTGAGGATGAGGAGGCGCCAGGGAACGGGCTCCGCTGCCACACGGGTCCTGCCTCCGCGGGCACCCTCTCCAGCGCTGTTGGCCCTACCACCGCCATCCCGGGCATCCACCACGAGCTGCTCTCTGCCCCGCATCCGCGGGCCTCCCCGCCTGGGACCTGCCCTGCTCGGCTGGATGGCCGGGAAGGGCTGGAGACAGCCCCAGCCGGCGGCCAAAGGCTCCCGGGGCGGCAGCAGAACCTGCGCGGCGGCGTTCGCCTTTCAAAGCACCCACCGCGCTGACTCACGGGCGCCTGTCTCCTGCCTCCCACGGGCCCTGCCACTCCCAGCGTCTCCCTGTCTTTCTGCGCTGATACCTCCAGCTCCTTCCCACTCCCCGGCCCGGCCTGGCGCTGCTTAATTCTCCYGGGGCCGCCCACTCGCTGCGGCTCCGCTCCCTGCGGCTCCCGGTGACTCCTCCGAGCCCCGTGTTCCTCCTGCTCCGTCACCCGTCGGAGACGGCCGCCCGCCTTGTCCCCGGGGCCGGGGCGAGAGGTGGCCCTGTGTCTGGGGGACACTCGCCGCGGGCTCTGCGGCGCCGCTCGGCTGCGGGCCCGTGCGGTCACGGGGATCTGCGCCGAGGCAGGACGGGGTGAACCAGTTTGCAGGGGTGTCCCGAGCCGCAGCTGCTCTGCGAGGGCCGCGGCGTCCGGAGCCACACGGCTCCCGCAGCGTGAAACCCCAGGAGCTTCATGCACACTGGTGGCTACAGGGAGCTCCTCCACCTCCATGTTCCCTTAAAAACACACCGTTAATGTTCCCTTAAAAACACACCACGTGTGCAACCTTTTCCAGTTGCCGCACGTGCCGGCTAAGCCTGGAAAGCCAAACGTGCAGCCGGGAGCGCCCCAGCACTCTCCTCCTTGGTCGCGCTCCATCCATGCGGCTCTTTGGGTAACCTTTGGGAATCCTGGTCCTTCTCTCTTGTTGGCTGACGGCTGCGCTCTTTGAGCCTACGGACCGCTGGTCTCCCGGGCAGCCTGTTTCGAAGGGGGATAATCYCCGGGAAAGGCAACGCGCTGGAACAGGATGCGCTTCCCTCGCCATTAGCAAGTGCCGCTGGCCGCTCCGAGTCCTCATGGAGGCCGAGGGCCAGGCGAGGAGGGCAAATCCGTGCTGCGGAACAGGCCGGCCACGCGGCCCTCCAGCCCAGCCCAGCAGCCGTCTGGGATTAGGATTTGATCCAGGATTAGGAAACAAACTGGCTGGGGGGTTGGCAGCTCCGCAGCTCACTTGGGAAACGTCTTTCGGAAAAGGCTGGCGTTGGCTGGATGAGCTGGGGTCTGACCCAGCCCCTCCCGTCCTATGTTCCTAAATATATCTAATTTCCAAAATGCATTTTAAAAACCCACAGCTCGTGTGCACTGGGGGCCCCTTGGGACTGATCTCCCTTAAAGAGCTGCTTTTAACCCCTCCTGCAAGCCCAGGTGTCTCCCTCCAAACTCCGACTTGGTCCGGCAGAAAATCCCCCCCCCGAAGGACAAACAGCATCTCTGCAGCTCCCAGGAGACTTCCTCATTCCTCCTGGACGGCCTGCTGCCATAAAAGCCATTGTGTGCATACGGGCCAGCCGCATTTCCTCACTGCCCCACACGCCTAGGGATCTGCTCCCAAGGGGGGCACGCGTTTCACGGGGGGAAGCGCGAGGTTCAGAGCAGCCGAGCGGCTGAGACGGGAGCTCAGCGCCCTGGCCACGTCTCCAGCGGGAGAAGTTGCTTCCAGCCAGAGACCCCTCCGCTCCTCAGCCTGGAGTGTCGGGGCCAGGTCCTTGGGCACGGTGACAACCGCCCAGCCAGAGCAGAGCTTCATCCCGCGGCGGGGACGGCTCCAAGCGGCCCCGGAGCCGCTTCCCCTGCCCGGGGAGCTGGTGCCGGAGCAAAGCCGGGCGATGCTTCGCGTGATTTGCGTGGGGCAAAGCCGGGCGATGGCTCCCGTTGACTTCACCACCGTTCTGGCACCGGGGCTTTTTATCGCCGTTGCCTTTTACGATGTTTACCAGATAAAAGGCGCCTTTCAGCGGCGCTGGCTGCAACTGCCAACAATGCAGCYGCGATATCTGCCCCGATTTCTGTCCCGGACAAGGTTCTGCGGAATTGCCACCAATATAATTATAAAGCGCTGCTTTTCCACCCTCCTCTCACCACCCCAGTGCTAGACTTTGGCCAGAGCCGCGTTTGCAGCTGCGGGGGAGCACGTTCAGGAGCGAGACGGGCGGCAGCTCCCGGAGGCCAAATCCAGACTTTGGCATGAGATAGGGGGCAGGAACGAGGGGCAAAGTGGGCTGAAGCGGAAAAATAAAAAGCAGAGCACCCCCCTTGCTGCGGCCATCCCCGGGGGCGGCCAAGCAGGCGCCGGGGCGGGCAAGTCCTGCGGGACGGGGTGGGTTTTAACTGATTCCTGCGAGGCGCCTCGCCTTGCGGAAAGTTCTCCCAAGGGGATCTCCTCTCCACGTGGCAAAATTCGCCGGGGATTCGATCGTGAGAGCGGGCGAGAGGCTCGCGAAGGGGCAGCCGCAGCGGGGGAAACGCTCCGTCCTTTCCACGTGGAAAATTCCCTGTTGTGAGAAAAAAATAAACACACCCACGGAGAGCAGTTAACGGTTTGGCTCCTTTTATTTGTGCTCCCACTCTGATAAGGAAAGAATCAGCGATGGTAACAGCAGGAACGGCGAGCTCCCCTCCTCCACAGCTGCTTGGTTTTCCTTTTCCCTGAGCGGAACCACTGGAACTGCCCAAAGCCGGAGGAGAGGGAAAACACCTCAGGGCAGAACTGCTGCTGATCCCTGGGATGTCGGCCCCGCGGGTGGCTCGTCCCGGTTTGGGAAAGGCTCCCGGCTCCCAGCCGGGACAGACGGCGTCCGTGCCGGCGGCCACGGCCGCTCTGCTGGCGCTGCGTGCCCATGAGCGCTGCCCGCGCTCCTCTATCCCAGCCCGTCCCAAGCGGCACCCAGGGCCGTTCCGAAAGATCCTGCTACCTGGAGCGGCTCCTTTTGGAGACAGAGGCTGTGGAGCCCGTGAGGACAGAGGGGAGACAAGCGGGCACCCCCCAAGCAAGACCTCTCTCCTTCCCTCCCGTTAATTCATGGAGACGCCACGAAGCACTGCGCGCTTCCCATGGCTCCCGCTGAGSATCAACGGGAACACAAATTCCTGCCGTGCTCCAGCGGGGAGCCCCCAGGGAAGGAGGCAGGAGGCCGGCGGCCACGCGCGGAACACGGAGACACCGGGCAGCCGCTTTCTGCAGCACCGGCCACGGGCCTGGACACCCTCCCGTAAGGGGAACCCGGGATCCTTCGGGAAYGCCGGGGGGATCCCCTCCCGGGAAACGTCCCCTCCGGCGCACCGTGCTCCCGGCGCCGGCAGCGCTAACGGGGCAAACAGCCCCATTCGTCACTGCGCGGCCGGCACGGGCCGGCTGAGGCCTCGGTCAGGCCGCGGGGCCCGCGCCCTTCCCGGGGCAGGGGCGGGACGGGGCCGCCACGCGGCGCCTCCCCGCCCGCCCCGCGCTCGGCCGTCGGCTGC